AGGAACAAGTATTTGTTACGCACCGACTACGGTCAGCACTGTGCTAAATGCTTTACAAATATTATCTTATTAGATCCTCACAAAATCCCCGAGAGCAGGTGCTATTTCACAGTTGAGGAAACAGCGGCAGACTCTGATGAACAGACTAATGTCCACTCGGATTTCTTTCGCTCGGTCTTTCTTCGGCTGCAGTGCCTTGCATTGCTAACACACAGAAGAAAACTAGAACAAAATCCCCTTTGCTCCCACAGACTAGCAATACTGGTACCCATTGGAATCATCCTGGGGGACCTGGGAGTTAACCTTCCCAAGCCCTGGCTCCTCCTTAGTCAGGGGGCCCCCCAGGAGGCAGGGCTGGTTTAAGGTTTCCTAGAGTGAGCTGGCTCACCACAGTTTGTCTCTTTATATACGTTTATTGCCCCTTATAAAGCTAGATAGAGCCACAATAAATGCTTGTGGACTGGACCAGGTGAGCCGCACGCAGTTGTGAAGGTATGGGGAGGTTGACTCGGGACTGTTGCATCCTGGCTCACTCGAACGTAACTCAGGGAATCAGCATTAATTTAGCGTGAAATGCAGATTCCAGGAAGTTGGAATCCTAGGACGGCGTTCGGAATTCCCTTTGGCATGTCACTTAGTCATTGCAGAGTATGCCTGAGATGGTTATCTGTGCGCTTCCCTGTACGAGGTACCAGTCCACGGTCCCCTCCCTGCAGGAGCTAACTCCCAAAGCCGGAGGATCGATTCCTGTGGTGCATTAAGGGCTGAGGGGGAGGGGGCTTGGGTACCGGCTCTTTCGGGGTGGGGAAGGAAAGGCGAGGACGGGATGGGAGACCGGGAGCATCTACCTCTAGGGCCCCATCACTTTTCTCGAGCCCTCTCCCCCTCCCCAGCTCCCCAAACTCCAGCTTGGGGACGCTCCGCAGGGACAAATGGGCAACGAGGGGTCGCCCAGCTCGCTCGGGAGCGCTGGACAAGAGAAAAAGAAGCGGGGTCACGCGCGGGTTAACTGCAGGGCGGCGTGAAGGCGGGGGCGGAGGCGGTGGTAGCGGCGGCGATCGAGGTGAGGAGGCGGGGCTTCGAGAGGGGGCGGGACCGAGCCGGAGGCGGCCGCGGCCGCGGCCGCGGCGGGGGCCTCAGCGGCTTTAGGTGTCACTACCAACCCACTCCGGCCGGAAACAGGCGCCAGTTTCCGGCCGGACGGTTGAGGAGTGGCCGCTCCAGGGCCAGCCGCCGGAGTCGAAGTCGGTACCGGGCTCGGAGAGCGCAGGGAGGCGTCGGTAGTGACAAGCCGGGACTAGCCCGTGAGGAGCCGCCGCCGCCAGGGCTGGGGGGAGGGGGTCGAACCGGCGGGAAGGGAGGGGGGCGTCGCCGGCCGCCGCGGGCTGGGGAGAGGCTGAGGGGCCCCGCGCTCCGCCCCGGCGGCCTAGGGTAACGGAGCCCCCGCCCGGGGACGCGGGGGGGCGCGCGGCCGCCCGTCCCCTCCGTCAGTCCGCCTGCCGTCGGACTCCCGCCCGCCCCGCCTCCCTCCGCGTCGGAATCCTTCCCCACCCCTTTGTGGGTGTGCTGGGGCGGGGGGAGGTTTCCCTAGGCGGGGGTCTCCCCTGACCTTCGCCGGGGTCCCGAGCTTGGCCGAGCCAGCGCGGCCGGAGCCTCTTGGTCCCCAAGTTTGCTGAGCTGCCCCATTAGGGCCGGGCCCCTGCCCCGGCTCCTGGCAACTAGTGGCCGGCTCGGGTCCACAAAACGCGCCCCGAAGCGGCGCCCGCGGGCCCTTCCGTCCGCCCTGGCTGCCTCGCGCCGACGGAAAAGTTCCCGGGGCAGGCTGGAAACTTGAGAAGCGCAGGGGTGAGTGAGTGGGGGCGGCGGCGGCCGACGGGCTCTGCCGGGCCAGCCACAGTCACGGGCTGGCCCTCGGCTTGTTTACTGGCCCGCGGTATTTTTAGCCGGGCTTCCTCCGGGCTTCGTTCCGGGGACTTGGCATGTTTGAGTCGGAGGCGGTCTGGCGGGGGCTTCCCCCGGGAAGGTTTGTTCCCCATCACTTAGTGGAGTCCTGGTGTCCCCCGATGCCCGACCACCGACGGGCAGCGCAGAGCCCTGCAGGAGGAGCACGGAGCAGCTGCTGAACTTCACTTTTCCTACCTTTTTATTTCTGTAAACGCCTTGTGTAAAGTTACTCACCATTGCCAGTGGTTGACTCCTCTTCGTTTGTATGCCGGAGGTCTCTTTGAAGCAAATAGCCTCTTTCATAGTTGGGAGATTCGTAGAAATGTAGTCAGTTCTTAGTCATCACCTTCATCAGCTGAGAGAAACAGTGGTATGGACAATTCACAATGTTATTTCCCAACTTATTTTTAGTTTTGGAATTTTTAAAAATATTTTTAATATTTTCTTTCCTAATGTTATACTTAGTTTTGATGAAAAAGTGCATTTTCATTAGTGATAAAGAGTCATCCATTGATGGAGTTGGGAAAGAAAGTAGCTAAGGTGGCTAGAGCTTACAGGCTAGTGCCTGTAGCTTAAACATGTCCCTGGGCATTAGCCACAAGTTAATAACACCAACAAATTATGGAGTTAACCTGTTTATCCTCCTTGTTCTCAATGATAGTGGAAGTTCAGCATCCGGCTTTACCCCATTCTTTGTTTTTTCCATTGTGGAGTTAAGAGCTGTCCACAATAATGCCACAATATTAATGGGTAACGATTAATAATAATAGAATTGAAATTGATAAATGAAATGTAGACAGTTGTAGAGTGTTTGCAATTTTTTATCGTTCATTTTAGCCACCTACTTAACTGAACAATATCAGTATTAATGGCCCAAGAAAAACATTTGAAAACTGAAAGATATAGAAAATACACATTCCAAATAAGTTTTGGATTATTTACCATTTCGGACTGTCTGCCCTTCATTAGCATGAATGATCAAGAGTTGACCATTCTGACTGACTTAGAGCTACTCTGTACTGGAGTGGGGAAGGAGAGTTGGGGTGGGAGCAGACTGTTCAGAGCTGAGTCAGTTACTCACATTTCTGCCTAATTAAGCTTGTTCCTTTGGTTTAATGCCTTTGAGATTCCTTTGAGAAAATGTAAATTTTCTGGTTACAGATGCTAGTGCTTTTTCCTCTATACCATATTGTCACCCCTTCCTGTCTAGTCTCTGAAAATTAGCCCCTCAAACCCAGAACATTTAGACATTGTTCCTTAGAATTAAAATACACAGTGAAATGAAAGCTTTAGTGAGAACTTCCTACCCTCTTACAGAATTATTGTTTAGGGTTAATCAGTGGAAGTGTGATCTGTCAGAGTCAAAAGTGTCATTTGGGTGAAATAGAAGTAAGAGTGCACAGACAACCTAAGTATTATTCTGGAAACTTCATTTTTTTTCTCTTCTTTTTCACTAGCAGTGTTTTGAGAAACAATATGGGGAGTGGAATGTGATTTTTTTGAAGTCAAGCACACCCAGAGAGATTAGAAGTACTCAGATGCTTCATTTTGTGTGTGTGTATGTTAGAGTTAGCTCAATTATTACTGACAGGCTCCATGACCTATTTATAATTGTGGCAGGAGCAAATCCCCTGGTTGAAATGCCTATAGTTTGAATAAACCTCAAAGGGGCAGGGAAAGAATTGGAATGAGGCTGGGTATAATTGTTACTAGCCTGATTCTGAGATATTGGTGAATTCTGCGGAATCCAAACATAATAAAAAGGGATACCTGCCCTTGTGGGGCTTTTGGCTTATTTGAAGAGACAGAACAGGGCTTAATACTTATGAAATGGCATATGAACTGGTGCAGTTTAATGTAGTGGAAAGTGCTGAGAGAACTTACCATGAGGAGCAATGAGAAATGGATAGTTTCTTGGATAAGATAGTTTTCCCCTGGGTTTTGGCAGAAAAGGGAAGGACATTCCAGGTAGAGGAAATGGCATGTGCAGAAGTTGGTGTGGGTGGGATGAGCAGTGTACAGTGGGGGAACAGGTGAGATTGGCTAGAATGGAGGGCCTGATGGTAAGTCGTGGAAGGGGAGGGTGAAATAGAGAGTTCTGAGGAGAGGGGTTTGGATTTGTTAACATTGGGTAATAGAGAACCCTGTTAGGCCCGTGAATGGAAGAATGTTGTACTGGGAGTTCTGGTTTATAGAGAGAGGGAGGCAGATATATTAGGACCCATTTCTTCCTCTCCTGAACTAGTTTAGGTGAAGAGAACCTTGGCTGGGGCTTCAGTTTTCTTTGTGGAAGCAGTTCTGTTTCAAGCAGCTTAATTTTACAAAGCCCTCTCTATACCCATCTGAGAGTGGTTTAACATATAGGGTATTCCAAAGGCTATAACTCAAAGGTCCCCATGTTCTTGAGGCAAGCAAAGAAAAGGGTCCATTATCTATGTGTTTTCAATGTTCAGTCTTCCTTGTTAAGATTGTAGGGGATCAGTAGTATAGGCAGTCCAGAACTGAAAAGTGCTAAAAGTCTTGGAAAGCATTATAATTAAAAACCCTAACAGGTTTATCTTTTGTTTTGTTTATGCTACCATTAAAATTTGCATTACCTGACTGCATACCACCTAATATAATTAATTACCTACCCTTTTTTCTCTCTACCAATCTAGGTCTTCCAAAACCCAGGCTAAAATTTATCTTATCCAAGAAGTCATCCTTTTCTCACTGCTCCTCCTTATAAGTCCTCTTAGCATGGTAACATGCTGAATAAGAGGGAGCCTGCAGTTTTCTATATAATGGTGTAAAATAAACAACTCAACTTGTGGATAATTGAAATTTTACTATACTAAGAATGTTGGTAAGGGACATGTCTTGTTCAGTCATTTTTTTCAGTCACATCTGACTCTTTTTGACCCCCATTTGGGGTTTTCTTGGCAAAGATGCTGGAATGGTTTGCCATTTCATTCTCCAGCTCATCTGACAGATGAGGAAACTGAGGCAAACAGAGTTAAGTGACATGCCCTGGGTCACACAGCTAGTAAGTGTCTGAGGTCACATTTGAACTCAGGAAGATGAGTCTTCCTGACTCCAGGCCTGGCATTCTATCCACTTTGCCATTTAACTGCCCCACATGTTTTGGGGCAGACCCCTTTTAGAGTTCATACTGGCTTCTCAGCCTTTTAGGCCCTTGAGTTTTTCATGTATATAAGCCAGAGTGAGTTGTTCAGTCATAAGTGTCAAGAGCTCCTTAGGATTGCATCAATCTGATAAGAATTGAGCTGTTTTTTGTTTGTTTTTCCCCCCAAAGACTAGTATCTAAAAGAGGGAATTAAAGTACCAGATTTAATCAAAATTTATCAAGACCTTTTCTTCTGGAGTAAATTTATTTCAAAATCTGACCAGTTTTTTTAAAGGGAAAAATTAGCCCTTTAAATTTAATAAAATACTGTTATCCATCTTTCACATAAAACAGTTGGCCTGAACACACCTGACTTCATAATTGTTACCAAAGCTGTGTACTTGTGATGTCATTAGTAAAATATTATGATTTACCTCTTGGATGAGAAGATTGTCATCTCCCTTGGACACTGGAAATCAGAAATTGAAAAAGACTGGATTCTATTCCTTCCACCTACTCAGGATCATTCTTAACTGTGTGGTTATAGGGTTCTGTCTCATCCCTTTATTTTCTTTAGGAAATAGTTTGCTTTCACCTATGTGTGCTAATAGAGGGGAATAATCAGTCAACAAATATTTATTAAGGATCTACTATGCACTGGTTGAGTGGTGGGGATAGGAAAACAAGTATAAGATACTTGTAAAAGATAAAAGTCCCTAATTTCAGGGACCTCATTATCCAGTTAGGGAGACGAGACCGATATACCAGAAACTGTCAAATAATGCAAGAATATACAATTAAGTGATTGTTTAATGTGGACTCTAAGTACTGGAAGAGTTTAGAGTGGGGAGAGATTAGTGAAAGCTTCTTGAAGAAGGTGGTATTTGAGCTAGACCTTGAAGAATAAATAGCATTTGGTTGAGTTATTGGTAAGGGACAAACAACTGAGAAGGTTGAGCATGTTTGCTAAGGTGAATAATTTATAGATAAAGAATTTATGAGATGGAAGAGACCACGAGGGAACGTGTGGAAGCAGGAATTTGCATTGCAGTTAAGAAGTTGACCTCACCTTAGGGTTTCATTTAGGAAACATAGGGAAGTAAATTGGGCTAGATGTGTTGGGACAGTATTCTTGGGAGGGGGTGGGGAATGATGAGGCTGAAAGCCAGATAGTAATTTGAGACTGATATGATAGGAAAGAGGGAGAATGAATGGTGGTGACAGTGATAGAAAATAGTGAAGTGGTTTGGGGGAGTTTGTTAGGAAGGAAATGAGATCAGTTTTGGACGTGTTGAGTTTGAAATAAAGGCATGATACTTATGAGGAGTTGGAAAATAGAAGACTAGAGTAAATAGCAGACTGGAAGTATGGAGAGTCAGTGTATTGAGATGTTGGCTGAAGCCGTGAAAATGGATGAGTTCTATCTAGACAGACAAGAGCAGAGAAGCCAGGGTAGTGATGCTGATTATATACATATAATCTAAGAATCATGTTGTATTGGATATGCATGTTGTGATGTTAAAAAATACTGTTTTTATAGAAAATTTTCTTCAATATTTGGCTCAGACTGATAACCAGCTAAGATTGGGTAAGCACCTATGTGCCAGGAACTGCGCTAGTCGTGAGATACAAGGTAATCAAGTATATTTACATTTCTTTCCAAACATATAAAGTGTCCTAGTTGTCTGGTCAACATTAAGAAAACCAGGGATCAAAGTGTGGCAACAATTTAACATTTGTTGAGAAGAGATGGAAATCTTTTTCAGTGCAGCCTCACTTTCAGGACTATAGTCCTGAATAATCCGTGACCCCCCTGGGATTTTGCAGGCCCTAATCACTACTTGTTTAGACAATTATAATAGGTTCTTAATTGTCCTCTGCTCCCAGTCTCACCCCTCTACAAAATAATAGGCCTTGTGCACAAGTCTGACATACCATGTTGCTTCCCTCCTCAATAACCATCTGTGGCTTCCTGTTGCCTCAGGGACAAAATATGAATTCCTCAGCCTCCTATTTAAGGCCCTATAAAATTTGACTCCACTTTACTTTTCTACCTTTTTTCTGTAATATTTCTCTTCCTGCATTGTACTTTTTAGCCAATCTGAACTACTAGCTATTCTGAAATAGACTTGCCATCTCTTGTCTGGCTTCTTTTGTACAGGTTATTCACCCTGCCTGGAATGCACGTACCTTGTCTCTATCTTCTAGACTCTTATCTCCATTCTGACTTTGCCCAGGGACTGTCTCCTATACAAAGTCTTCCTAGAACCCTTTAGTTGTGATTAGCTTGTTTATTTCTCTGTGTATTTCTATCCTCCAGTAGAATGTTAGCTCCTTGAAGGCAGGGGCTGTTTGGTTTTATCTTTGTATCCCTAGTGCCTGGTGAAGTTCCTCATATATAATAATAATTGAATTTTCTCCCTTGCACTGTTTTGTGCCAGTTTAGATCAGTCTCCCCATCCTTCTTTATGAACACAACCTTAAAAAATACTTTTATTTGGGAATAATCTTCCCATCTACTTTGGTTGAACCAGTAAAGAGGGGTTAATGAATTAATCCTATCCTGATTTAAAATTCAATTCAGCAAATGTTTGAGTGCCTTATGTGTGTAGTACTACCTCATTTGTACAGCATTTTCAGGTTTATAATGCATATATGTATTTATAATCCTATGATGTAGGTTGTATAAGAATTATTATGCTCTTACAGGGAGCTCTGAGAAGTTAAGTAATTTGCTAGCAGTCATATGGCCAAAAAAGTGACTGATTTGGTTTCATGCCTCTGAATCTAATGCTCTTTCTACAGTGCCAGTGCTGCCTCTTCACAGTGCTCTGTCCTGGGCTTTACACAGATGAATTGGCAGGGAATCTGCTCTTAAAGTGTGTATTATCTAACAGGTGAGATAAAATACAAACAAATAACTAAAACTGCTGAATGTGATTACAGTACTATAGATGTACAAATAGAGATATTTTGGAAGTAGAGTAAGGAGAGGTTGCTTCCTTCTGGAGGAATCCAGGATGGCTTCAGTGGAGGAAGTGGCATTCAAGCTGGACCTTGAATGCTGGTACAGTACGTGTAGGGCAGAGGGCTGGAGGGGGAGAGAGCTAGAGGGGGAGGAGAGTGCTGAAGTATTCCAGGCACAGTAGAGCAGACTCTGGGGTGTGAACAAAGACCCGGAGTACAGGAAGTGCAAGGTGTGTTTGAGGAACAGCTTGTTTTGTTTTTACTGGATCATGGGGTACTTAAAAAGGGAAAGGTAAGAGAAAAAGCTGGAAAAGTAAGTTGGATCCAGAGCTTTGGGGGTGTCCGTCTAAAAATTTAGACTATTATATAGGCAGTGGGTGAGGCATGGGACATTTTTGAGAAGGGAAATAATAAAATCAATGGTATTGTTGAGGAAGAGTATTTGGCAGCTGTATATAGGCTGAATTGAGGTAGGGAATTCTGTTAGGAGACAACTGTGATTGTCCAAGAGGTAAAAATTCATTAATTTACCAAGCATCTGCAATGTACAATGCTAGTTCTTAGAAGTAAATACCACATTTGGATAGGAACTCCCTGAGACGCAAATACAGGTAACTATAATAGACTGTTATATCAGTGCATTGGAGGTCTGCAAAACCAAGTAGTATGTGAGGTCAGAAGGGAAAGGAGACCTTGGGAAGTCAGGAATAATAATTTGACATCATAATGATTTAAGGTTTGCAAGGTGCTTTACATACATGCCCATGAAGTCATCTCCCTGGCTTCAGTTCCCATTTATATGTAGATGACTCCCAAATCTTTATCTCTAGCCCTGACCTCTTTATCTGAGCTCTCATCTCTAATCACTTATCAGATGTTTTCACCTTTATTTCCCACCAGCACCCCCAGCTCAACATGTTTAAGACCAAGTTTATTACCTTTCCCTCTGATGTTGCTTCTTCTTTTAACTTTTATTTTTGTCAGTGATGCATCTGTTCATCAGGTCTCCCACATTAGAAGTCTTGTAATGAACATTGGCTCTTCTCCCCTGTTTTTCTTATATGTCCAATTTGTTATCAAGTTTTGTTAGATTCACTTTTTCAACGTTGGTCCTACCTTCTCTGTTCCCATTGTCACTATCTAATAGTATCTAGTACCTCATTACTGTCTACTGTAGCAGTCTCCTTAGGGGAATTACAGGTACCAACCCATCGTTCATACTGCTGTCAGATGAATCTTAGGTAGGCATTCCATCTTCTGTTCACTGATCTTCGGTCACTTTGTATTACCCACCACTATCTGCCATTCTTCTTTCACCTCATTTATATAAGATTGTCAAGCTAGCAGAGAGAAAAGAGTCTGATACAGATTCTTGGGGAACACGTGCTAAGCTGTTGGGAAGAGGATGAAGAGCCAGGAGACAACACAGAGGAAGAATAGTTAGAGAAGTAGAAAAATCACTGTGAAAGTGGCGTCTTAGAACTCAAGTTCGGAGTAGAGTGATCAGTAGGGTCACATGTGATAGAGGGGCAAGTGGTAAGAAAGAAAAAAAAAGCCATAGGATTTGGTAATTGTTGCCCTGCTGTTGGTGACCTTTGAGAGATCAAGTTTGGTAAAGTAGTTGTTGGTAGTGATGATGGAAGCCAGATGCAAGGGCTCTAGGAGAGAGTGTGTTGAAAGGGATACCTTGTTCATAGACAATTTTTTGGAGAAGTATAGGCAGCAGTGAAGGTTTTAGGAGAGATGGGATGGTAGCTGGTTGAGGTAGAAGAGTCTAGGCAAGGCCTTTCAGCATTGGAGAGACCTTGAATATAACTGAAGGGAGATAGAAAGGAGCTGTTGAAGGGATATTGGACAGGGGAATGACAGCTGAATAAGGTCCTGAAATAATAGCTTGCATTTTTGTAGAATTTTAATGTTTGCAAAGTACTTACCTATATTATTTGATCTTCACAACCACAATTTGAGGTAGGTGTTATTGTGCTATTTCCTCATTCTAGAGATGAGGAAACTGAGGCATGACTTGCCCAGGATCACATAGTAAGTATTTAGTGGAATTTGAATGCAGGTCTTCCTGACTCTCAGGCCAGCACTTTCTCTATTATACCATGCTATCTGTGTTTTGAAAAGGAATTAAGAACCCAGGGAGAGGGATTGTAAATAGTGAGAGTCCAGGGATACCTCTTCTTCTGGGATCAGAGAAAAGAAAAGGGGGGGGGGCGTTATTGAAAAATTTTAAAGAATGGTGGAGGGAAGTTAAGGAAGCTCAAATTTGATGGACTTGATCTTGCAGTTAATTAGAAGGCTAGGTAATATGCTGTGGGTGCATGTAACTGTGTGGAATGTGTGTGATTTAGGACTTGAAATGAGAAAAAAAGGTTTGAAACAGGCCCTTTGGAGAAGAAGATAAAGGCATGGAGGGCCTAATAAGTTTGGGTGGGGATGGAAAGAGGATCAATTTGAGAGGTATCGATTGAAGAAGTTGCTATTTGCCTTCTCATTAACCCCCAATAAGGTCTCCCTAATGTAGCCTTTTCAATGTAGGGAATAGATCTAGCCTGATATATGACTGACTGGTGCTTGGGGTTGAGACTGGGGGAGAGGATAGGGAGAGGTTCTCCTGCAAAGTAGAGGCAGTTTGGCTTGGTGTTTTCTTATAAAGTGTGGTAGTACAGTGTTTTTCTGCTCCTAGGCCGAAATCTTTCCCTTTAATCTGTTTTTTTTTGGGGAATATTTTTGAAGTTGGGCTGGTGCATCTTATATTAAAAGAAATAGGACATACTAAATTGGATGGTGACTAAAAAGATTTGTTTATGTTTGCCTAAGAACAACGTCTGCCACTCACTCAGTCTGCATCTCACTTTTCCTTAGGTTGGAAGTTTCATTAGATTTTTTTGTTGGGGATGTAGGGAGGGGCAGTTTTGATTTTGATATGCTGGCTGAATTGCAAATATATGTTTTGATCATGTGCCTCAATTGCTGATACTTGGAAGTACAGAAGAATTAAGTCTGTGTCCTTAGGCTTCTTTGGAAAGACCTAGTCACATCTAATAGTGTGGGAGGGTGGGTGCCACATATACGCACTTTTTAGATGAGGATCAGTCTTAGTGGCATGTACCTGGGCTCTGATTAATGTTTTTTCTGGATTCTATCATAATTCTCCTTGGAGAAGGGTTTTCTTTTGGAAACTATCCATTTTGGCTGAGCTACCAATTCCTAATTCTTTCTTAAGTGGGCAAGGGTACATTTTGTTTTTGAGTGTGTGTGTGTGTGTGTGGGGGGGAGTTCTAGGGGGTGGAGAATAATTACTCGAAATGAGTCATTATTTTCTGTAGATGGTTAGACATCCTTGTCTTTGTTTTAGAGTACCTCACATGTATCTCCTGATTTATAGGAATGATGGTTCTCATTCTGCTGAGATATCTGAGTTGAGGTGGAAACTAGAATTCCTGTGTTTTCATTTTGGTCAGTCTCCTCTTCTGTATAGATATGTGTACTGGGTATTAGGGAAATCCAGGGGAAGGAGGAAGAGGGAGAGACATGGGTTCTGCCCTCAGAGAGTTGACAAACTAGTAAAGGAAGATGCATACCAACATGAAAAAGGATACTCATAAAACAACAGCAAGTAAGCACAAATGATTGTAGTGGAACTATGTAGGCAAGAGTTGAAAAGGCACTGAGTAAAGGCATAAATAATCAGGGAAAACTCTCTGGAGGAGGTTAGGCCAAGCATTTCTTGGGGGAATGAATGAAAGAAGCAAAGGTTGTTAAAGAGTTAGTTAGCAGGTGAAGCTGATAGATGACATCACCTCATCAGGAGAATACAGCTGGTTGTGGGTGGGTGGACTGAGAATGGATAGGCTCGTGGGACACTAAGGTAAAACTCATTTTATAAGCTTCTGCTTGTGAAGGTCCTAACACCTTCACTGAAGAGGAGTTATTGGTGTTGAGAAACAATAGCCAGACTATTAGCATTTTTAAAAAAATTGCTGAAAATCAGTAATCTCTGAATCCTAGTTTTCTAGAAAGTGGTTAAGTACATATTTCTGCTTGCATACTTATAGCCAAGCTTTTTTCATAACCGAAGAATCTGGGTTGTTACTCAGCAAAGGTATTGTTAAGATTTAAATTCTGGCGTATTGTGCCCCTAATGTTGCTTCATGTTTTAGGAAACCTTCTGGAAGAATGTCTCCTGAAATCATCCTAGAGAAAGTAAAAATACGTATAGATGACTTGATTATTCGAAGCAACAGAAGGAACATCTGTTATTATATGATGAATTTTTAAAAAGTGAACAATCTCAAGTTCACAGATACTTGGAATTTGGATGTATCTTATTATTTTAAAAAATAACAGCAAATTTGCTTTCCTAATTGTTTGGCCAGAACTGTTAAAATTAGGGTGTTTGTTAACCACGTACAGACTGATGGTTTTGAATGTTATATGTGGAATAAGGTGGTATCCCAGAAGTACTGGGTTGGCAGGGGAAAGCAAGCATGGGATTGTACATTTATTGTGAATAATACACAAAAGTAGTTAAGAATTGACTAATGATTTTTGAGTTTCTAATGAACTGGCGTGACTGTTCCCTCATGCCAGCTTTTACCTTCTTGTCTACTTTTGATAGGTTGAGGCTGTGAAAATCATAAAGAATCTTGCTTGAGGTTTTTGGGGGAGTTTGACAGGAAAGAAAGCCTAAGGGTCTTAACTCCTTGTTCTGGACTAGAGACTTTGGCTCTTTCTCCAAAGCTGATTTGAAAACCCGTTGCCGTAGAGGTGAGGGGGCAGGGATCAGAGACTGAAGGGGGGACCATGGCAGAATAGAGGTTTTGGGGAGCAGGGGAAACAAGTAGAAGGATATTTCTAGGATGGTGCTGAGGGTACGAGGGCCTGCATGTGTTGTGGAGTTGGATCACGCTTGGGGTAGACT